TACCTTGTCTTTACTCTAAAACAGACCCAGCCCTGTCTACCTGCCCTCTATGTGGAATTCAAAAACCATCACTACAACACAGATTGTGGACCTATGAATTCTTGTACTGTACCGCGCTCCAATATTATCAACCTTTTGTGATTGACCTTTTTTGATTGTGTGAATTTCTTAATATACCACCTATAATCCAATCATTACTTACTTCTATGGTGCTTAAATATACAATTAACATAAATTCATTTATAAATGTGAATTAAAAAATTATATGTGATTATAACAAATATTAATAAAAAAATTAATGAAAAATTGGAATGTCAATTCTATGTGAATAAAATTAATAAAACATTAATAAAAAATGGGAATGTCAATTATTTTTTTTGAATTTGAGATGGTGTTGTTATTCAATTTAGTTAATGTGATGAGTCTGTGTTCGCAGCTTGAACCTCTCCCTCCTGTCTCCTCTCCTCTCTCCTCAGCTCAGCCTTCTCAATTGTGCTTTCTTCACTGGCTGCTTTGTTTATTCCTCCATATACGGAACATGCAGAGAAGGGAAAAGAAACATAGTGTCTTATCCGGGATATAAGTGATTTATTGCTCTTTGATCTCCCACTCACATTGTGTAAATGTAAATAGCGCTTTGCATACAATGTATCCAGATCGTGCTTCAGACAGCCTGGCTGGTGTGTTTGCTTTCAGTAAATATACTCGCTGTTCCTCTGTGGATGCGTGATAACGTCACCGCCCCTCCCCTACGCGTTACGCTACAGGGACTCGTAGCTTTCTCTGGGGGATGTGGATGTGGAAATCCACATCCCCCAGAGGAAGCTACGAGTCCCTGTAGCGTAACGCGTAGGGGAGGGGCGGTGACGTTATCACGCATCCACAGAGGAACAGCGAGTATATTTACTGAAAGCAAACACACCAGCCAGGCTGTCTGAAGCACGATCTGGATACATTGTATGCAAAGCGCTATTTACATTTACACAATGTGAGTGGGAGATCAAAGAGCAATAAATCACTTATATCCCGGATAAGACACTATGTTTCTTTTCCCTTCTCTGCATGTTCCGTATATGGAGGAATAAACAAAGCAGCCAGTGAAGAAAGCACAATTGAGAAGGCTGAGCTGAGGAGAGAGGAGAGGAGACAGGAGGGAGAGGTTCAAGCTGCGAACACAGACTCATCACATTAACTAAATTGAATAACAACACCATCTCAAATTCAAAAAAAATAATTGACATTCCCATTTTTTATTAATGTTTTATTAATTTTATTCACATAGAATTGACATTCCAATTTTTCATTAATTTTTTATTAATATTTGTTATAATCACATATAATTTTTTAATTCACATTTATAAATGAATTTATGTTAATTGTATATTTAAGCACCATAGAAGTAAGTAATGATTGGATTATAGGTGGTATATTAAGAAATTCACACAATCAAAAAAGGTCAATCACAAAAGGTTGATAATATTGGAGCGCGGTACAGTACAAGAATTCATAGTTTTTATATTTATACACCTAGAGAGGGTGTAATTAGTGCCTAGCGATCTAATATTTAATAAATATTCACTTAAGCACACAATTAACACTAATAATAGAGTAAGTTAACTCCTGGTGGCTCACAAAAAACTATTCTATTAAAACAGATTGTGGACCTGTCCCCCTATTTCGGCATTCTGGCAGCAAGTGGTTCGTTTCATATCCATCATCACAGCTTTCTGCTTACCCATCCACACGCTGCCGCTGCTGTTCGGATATCTGGAACATTCAATCATTGGCCTCTTTTCTTCACAAACATCATCCTTCAGAGACAATAAATCCTGGATATCAACCTGCCTTTTAATTGCAAGACGTCTCATTCTCCGCCAATGGGTATCCGACACCCCACCAACTATGACGGGGGTTAAACAAGAACTCAACACTCTTTTACGCCTGGACAGGCTTCACCTAATTACCTCTCCGACTACATCAAAGGAATCCAATTACTATAGAAAATGGAACTCATATATTACAGGCTCATTATCCATACAAGAGCAGCTTTCTTTACCCAGACAAGGACTCGTTAAAACTTTATCTGTTGATCGGCTGTGTGTATACCTATCTAACTCGCCTATGACCATTTCTAACTTCCTTATTCTCATATACTCTGACTCCATAATCACTTTTTCAATCTATGATCCTTTATAAATTCAACACTGTTCCTACACAATTGATTGCCATTAGCCAGATGGAAGATGACACTCACTTCCTTCACATCGCATCACATCACATTACATCACCCAAGATGGAACATGTACCAACATATATTCGATGCATATGCAAGCTATCTGATTGCTAACCTATATCTTGTTGATTTTTCCATATCTCTGTCCCTTGGTCTCTTCTTTTTCTCATTTTCTTTTTCTCCATACTATCTCTACACCTTCAAGTATAATCCTCTCCATTCAGCTCATAATTGGATTGTATAATCCCGATGGGATGTTCTCTACATGTACGAACCTCATCTTTCACACCTTCTCATACTACTTTTCCTACTTGGTTATCACCATGATTAGTATACCATAGTATTGTAATAGCACCCATTTCTAGCGGCTGTCATTACCGATTTAGGGCTGTGTTCAGTTTATTTGCCACACTACTGCACCCAGCTAGACTTGATGTCACATGGGTATTATAACTGTGTCATTGTTTCTTTGTTTGTAATTTGTTAAAACCTAAATAAAATAAAATTAAAAAAAAAAAAAAAAGATCAGATGGGTTAAAGGCATCGCATTGGGACCCCTTATACATAAAGGACAATCTGAAGGGGAACCCCCAGCGATCACGAATGTGGTTGTCTTGAATAATATGAAGAAATGGCTTCATAGACCTCTTTAAGATAGTGGTTTGGGAGAAGTCTGAGTAAATCTGATAGGGGTGAGTCTGAAACAAAAGGGTCTTTATTTCCCTCGCTATTCGTATCGCCTGTTCTTTCGGTTTATAATAATGGAATTTTAAAATGATGTCCCGAGGCGGGCCTTCAGGTGGTCTACAGCCCAAGGCTCTGTGTATCTTATCCATCTCCAAGTGTTCTACCAGAACATCAGGGATTAACTTTGGAAACCGGGATAACACAGAGCCTTGAAGATCTGTAATAGTCTCTGTCAGGCCCCAAATGCGAATATTACTGCGACAAGCTCTATTTTCCGCTTCTTCTGATTGTTTAGAGATTGTACTATAGATATTATACTATAGATTGTATATTTTCTATATCGCCCTCGTGGCCATCTGAAACAGTAGTTACATCATCCATTCTGTGTTCTAGAAGAGCAGCCCTCTCACCCACATTTCTAAGTTCTTTGGGTAAATCTGCTGATTTTGCGGGATATTTCTCCCAGTTCCTCCCGAACAAACCCCTCAGATCTTACCTAATAAAACTGAATCCTGATCCATGCGGGATGGCTGCAGGGCAGAGGGGAACTGTGCAGAGCTGTCAGCTGAATCTTCTTCTGAGTTTCCATGTGACTGCCTCGTGGTTTCATCAGCAGGGGGGGCCTGCGCCATCTTGGAAGGGGCTGGCGCTGTGGTTTAGGGTCGGCATGCTGTTTAGCCTTGACCCGATTGGGAGGAGCCATGGTTGCCGGGAGCACCCTCACACCTTCTGACACCCACGAATATCAGCAGGGTCCCGCTAAGTGCCGTCAATTCGGAGGGAAGCAGAGTGTCCAGGGTGAGCGGAGCAGGGTTAGATTGCAGCCATCTTGGCCCACTCCGCACATGTGCCTTACAAGCAATTTTTTTTTTTTTTTTTAAATCTGAATGAAGAGCGTTAGTGAGAGAACATGTATGTGTTGACTGATCTTGTTTTGGAGAGGGGGGAAATCAACCTTTGTATATGATGCCATGGATGCTTTTGGAAAAGAAAACCATTGTAATGAAACAACCATCCCTTATGTGTAAGGATTTAAAGCCACAGTATGCATTAATTGCTTGCCGGCAAATCACATTACTATGGTTGTTCGTTGAAGGGGACCTAATGGTTTAGCATTTTTGTTAAAAAAAAGAAAAGAACACCTTGCTGCTGCAGGATGCCTGCAGTTACTTGTGTTGTGCTTCATAATTTTTGTGCTTTCTTTTCACCTCTCCTTGTGATTTATAAATCAATGACACCACAGCTCTTCACTGCTAAGGCAAGATCTTTAGTTTGTTGACAATGGGAGATACAGCTCAAAATTGAGGCCTTTTAAGCCTTGTACACAAAATGAGACAATCAGACGAATGATCTTCTGTTTTTTTTTTTTTTTGTTTGTTTTTGGTTTGGTTTTTTTGCTATTCTCATATCTCATAGTCTTGAAAATGAAGTTACTTAAAGTTGCTAAATTTCTCATAAGTCAGAATACAACTTCGGAAGTGATGCAATTGTATTGTATTCTTTTTCAAGCATGCGCAGTCTTGGTCACTCGATTTCTTCTTTTGTTTTTTTTCGGACAAATACTGTACTGATTAAACAAAAATTGTTTACTCTGGTATAATTTTCATGCTTGTCCCTTCAGATAATTTAGCATGAACTGTCATGAGCAGTTCTTGAAAATTGTGTACTAATGATCGGATTATCGTACGATCCCACTGAAAGTGGTATTTTTTTGGTTCGATTTTCTCATCATATGTACTAGACTGTAGTGCACGGGTGTCAAATTGGCAGACCTCCAGCTGTTGCCAAACTACAAGTCCCATGAGGCATTGCAATATTGACAGTTACAAGCATGACTCCGAAAGGCAGATTGGACTTTTCACAACAGCTGGAGGGCTGCCAGTTTGACACCCCTGCTTTAGTGTGCCCTTAAAATGCAGGGGATTTCCCAAACACAGGAACACAAACATGGAGCTTAGTGCAAGTACTTGTACATATGTCTTTTTTACTACAAGTAACATTAGAAGTATATAATGCTGTAAGTTATCTTATTGTGCAGCATACTGTGTGATTCTAATGATTGCAATTCCTTCCTTTGTAGAATGTTGCACTTTATGCAGATGTGAATGGAAAGCAGTTCCCAGTCACCAGAGGCCAAGACATTGGCAAATATCAGGTAGGAGAATAAACCGATGACTAATGGCCTAATAAATGCTCTTCATAAGATATTAAAGTAGTACTGAAGTGGTTGCAAAGCCTAAAGGTTTTTGCATCCTATTTATTAAAATAAAAAAAAATTTCCCCCTCCTCATCTCTTATACTTGAGCCTGATCTTGATCCAGCGCTGTGCACAAGAGCAGAGGCTCTCTCAGCTCTGTCTCCTCATTGTCTCCCTCTGCTGTCACTCACAGGCAGTGAGCCGGGAGTGGTGGTCGAGCTGTGCTCTGTGTGTCAGTGGACACACACTCCTGCTCAGGAATGAGCATGCACAAGTGGCTTGCTATGGGGGCACTCAGTGGAGGGAGGGGGCCAGTAGTGTCGGCGGGGGGACCCGAGAAGCGGAGGATTGGAGCTGCTTTGTGCAAAACCATTGCACAGAGCAGGTAAGTATAAGAAGCTCTACAATCACTTTAATGGATATTAAATGCTCTACCTGGGATATTAAAGTTGTTCATGACACAGAAGGTTTTTACCTTAATGCATAGAATGCATTAAAGTAAAAAACCTTGAGACCTTAGGACTCCGCCCCCCCCTCCTCCTTATACCTAGGGGTGCCTTACCTGAGCCCATGCCAATGCAGCACTGTACATGAGGTTCTCCCAGCTCTGTCCCTCCTCACTGGGCATATTGGTAGCAGTAGGAGCCAGTGACAAGAGAGTGGAGGGGGGTGGGGGCTATGCCCTGCTGTCTGTTTCAATAGATGCAGACAGGGAGGCTCTGGAGCAAGCCTGCAGAAGTGCAGCTCCATGGGGCATTGGGCAGGGGGGGAGGAGCCTGGAGCACCGGCGGTGGACCAGAGAACAGGAGGGTCAAGGCTGCTCTGTGCATAAAAAAACCGTGAAGAGAGATTCATAAAGAAAAGCGGTTACATGAAGGACAAATGCGATACTCAAATAGTCATCAGAGATATGCTTTATTGGCAAAGTTGCACATAGAAGACAATTGAGTCAAGACTGCAAATAGCCATCACCTCAATAATGGACAATACACAAGACAACCTTAAAACAAAAAAATAATAAAAAAGAGAGAGACATCCCCACTGTGTTGGTGTACCCGATGTGCCTTTGCTATTGATGCAAAAGACCTCTGAGTCGTTGCCCCTATAGCATAGTATCACTTGTGGCCTGCCATGATGTCTCTCTTTTTTTTAATTATTATTTATTTTGTTTCAAGGTTGTCATGTGTATTGTCCATTTATTGAGGTGATGGCTATTTGCAGTCTTCGCTCAATTGTCTACTATGTGCAACTTTGCCAGTAAAGCATATCTCTTAACTCTGATGACTCTTTGAGTATCTCATTTGTCTTTCATGTAGCTGCTTTTCTTTGTGAATTTCTTTTCACGTTTTTTTTTTTTTTTTTTTTTTTCGTTGCTGTTTTTTTGGTTATTGGGCAAACTTTGTACTTCAGGCAATCCTATTATTTTTCAGGCCTCTATTTTTATGGTTATATGCTCTGTGCATAACCATGCACTGAACAGGTTTGTTTATACGAATATGTTTATTATTTTAATTAAAACAAAACAGAAGCTTAATTACTTTAAAGCGATGTTAACTACTTCCATACAGGGTACGTTTACCCCTTTCTGCCCAGGCCAATTTTCAGCTTTGAGTGCTCCCACACTGTAACAATTAGTCATGGTACACTATATCCAAACAAAATTTTTATAATTTTTTTTTCACACAAATAGAGCTTTCTTTTGATGATATTTAAATACCACAGGGTTTTTTATTTTTTGATACATAAGCGAAAAAATGCAGAATTTTGAAAGTCTTTTTTTTTTTTTTTTTTTTTTTTTTTGTGTTTGTATTGTAAAATTTTGCAAATAAGTAATTTTTTTTTCCATAAATTTTATGCCAAAATTTATACTGCTAGATTTCTTTGGTAAAAATAACCCAAATCAGTGTATATTAGTTATGCAGGCCATACATGGGTCAAATTCTGAATGAATTTTCTTTGAAAAATTTGAAATTTCATGCGTTTTGTAATTTGATGGTTCCACCAGTGATTAAGAAATTTGACCAACCAAGCCTTCAATGTTGCTACAGAAACAAATTTTTGTGGCTGGGAATCTTCCTTTCTTTCCAGGTCACAGCTCATGGTAATTTATTTTTCGATTATATTTCTCACACGATTTTCCTATCATTGATTAGAAATGTGTTAGATTTTCCAAAAATTTCCAACATGCCGATCACTCAAATTCTTCTTCTTCTTCCTCCTCCTCCCCCTCCTCCCCCTCTTCTTCTTCTTCTTCTTCTTCTTCCCCCTCTTCTTCCCCTTCCTCTTCTTCTTCCCCTTCCTCTTCTTCTTCCTCTTCCCCCTCTTCTTCCCCCTCTTCTTCTTCCTCTTCCACTTCCTCTTCTTCCTCTTCCCCTTCCTCTTCTTCCTCTTCCCCTTCCTCTTCTTCCTCTTCCCCTTCCTCTTCTTCTTCCCCTTCCTCTTCTTCTCTTCTTCTTCCCCTTCCTCTTCTTCCTCTTCTTCCTCTTCTTCTTCCCCTTCCTCTTCTTCCTTCTTCTTCTTCTTCTTCCCCTTCCTCTTCTTCCTCTTCTTCTTCCCCTTCCTCTTCTTCCTCTTCTTCTTCCCCTTCCTCTTCTTCCTCTTCCTCTTCTTCTTCCCCTTCCCTCTTCTTCTTCCCCTTCCTCTTCTTCTTCCCCTTCCTCTTCTTCTTCCCCTTCCTCTTCTTCTTCCCCTTCCTCTTCTTCTTCCTCTTCTTCTCTTCTTCTTCTTCTTCTTCCTCTTCTTCTTCCTCTTCCCCTTCCTCTTCTTCCCCTTCCTCTTCTTCCCCTTCCTCTTCTTCTCTTCCCCTTCCTCTTCTTCCTCTTCCCCTTCCTCTTCTTCCTCTTCCCCTTCCTCTTCTTCCTCTTCTTCTTCCCCTTCCTCTTCTTCTTCCCCTTCCTCTTCTTCCTCTTCCCCTTCCTCTTCTTCCCCTTCCTCTTCCTCTTCTTCCCCTTCCTCTTCTTCCCCTTCCTCTTCTTCCCCTTCCTCTTCTTCCCCTTCCTCTCTTCTTCCTCTTTTTCTTCCTCTTCCTCTTCCTCTTCCCCTTCCTCTTCCCCTTCCCCTTCCCCTTCCTCTTCCCCTTCCCCTTCCTCCTCTTCTTCCTCTTCCCCTTCCTCCTCTTCTTCCTCTTCATCCTCTTCATCCTCTTCCTCTTGCAGGTCACTGCTCATGCGCAGATTTTTTATCGGCAAAAAATCGGCCGATTTGCCCACTAATTGCCGCGAAAATCGGCCGATCGGCAAAATCGGCCGATTTTTTTTCCAACTTTACAGAAAAAAAAAAACGGCCAAAATACCGAAAAACGGCCGACCAAATAGCCCACTAACGATCCGAAAATCGGCCGATTTTATTTTCGGCCGAAAAATCGGCCGATTTTCGACCCATCTATGGCCTGCATAAGTCTGTGAAAGTTAGTCTACAGACTATGATACCAGTCGTTGAAAATTGATCACACCTGATGTACTGAGGGCCTATCTCCTTTCTTGAGGCCCTAATGCAGGCCATAGATGGGTCGAAAATCGGCCGATTTTTCGCCGAAAATAAAATCGGCCGATTTTCGGATCATTAGTGGGCTATTTGGTTGGCCGTTTTTCGGTATTTTGGCCGTTTTTTTTTTTTTTTTCTGTAAAGTTGGAAAAAAATCTTTTTTCGCGGCAATTAGTGGGCAAATCGGCCAATTTTTTGCCGATAAAAAATCTGCGCATGAGCAGTGACCTGCAAGAGGATGAGGAAGAAGAGGATGAGGAAGAAGAGGATGAGGAAGAAGAGGATGAGGAAGAAGAGGATGAGGAAGAAGAGGATGAGGAAGAGGAGGATGAGGAAGAAGAGGATGAGGAAGAAGAGGATGAGGAAGAAGAGGAGGATGAGGAAGAAGAGGAGGAGGAGGAGGAGGAAGAAGAGGAGGAGGAGGAGGAAGAAGAGGAGGAGGAGGAGGAAGAAGAGGAGAAGAAGAAGGAGGATGAGGAAGAAGAAGAGGAGGAGGAGGAGGAGAAGAAGAGGAGGAGGAGGAAGAAGAAGAAGAGGAGGAGGAGGAGGAAGAAGAAGAGGAGGAAGAAGAAGAAGAGGAGAAGAAGAGAGGAGGATGATGAAGAAGAGGAGGAGGATGATGAGGAAGAAGAGGAGGATGAGGAAGAAGAAGAGGATGAGGAAGAAGAGGAGGATGAGGAAGAAGAGGAGGATGAGGAAGAAGAGGAGGATGAGGAAGAAGAAGAGGATGAGGAAGAAGAAGAAGAGGAGGATGAGGAGGAAGAAGAAGAGGAGGATGAGGAGAAGAAGAAGAAGAAGAGGAGGAAGAAGAAGAAGAGGAGGATGAGGAAGAAGAAGAAGAAGAGGAGGATGAGGAAGAAGAAGAGGAGGATGAGAAGAAGAAGAAGAAGAAGAGGAAGAAGAGGAGGATGAGGAGGAAGAAGGAGATGAGGAGGAAGAAGGAGGATGAGGAGGAGAAGAAGGAGGATGAGGAGGAAGAAGAGGATGAGGAGGAAGAGGATGAGGAAGAAGAAGAGGAAGAAGTAGGATGAAAATAAGAGGAATTCCAGTCCAGCAAAAAGTGTCTCTGCAGAGAGCTCCGCTATTTCTGACAGTTCTCTGACAGTTCTTTGACATTTACAGCGGTTGCAACAATGTATCTATTTGTTTCCGAATAAAAACATCTGTATCCTAAATGGAAACAAATAGATACAATGTTTCAACCGCTATAAATGTCAAGGAACTGTCAGAGAACTGTCAGAAATAGCGGAGCTCTCTGCAGGGACACTTTTTGCCGGCTGTAGACGGGATGAAAATCGGTCGATTTTTTTTTTTTTTTTTTTTTTTTTTTTTTTTTTTTTTTTTTTTTTTTTTTTTTTTTTTTTTACCATTGGTGGTAACGTCGGCCACTTGAACGACCGATTGTTCGTTTTTTTAAAAGAAAAATCGGCCGATTTTCGACCCATCTATGGCCTGCATAACATGCTAGGAAAGTACAAATATCCCTCAAATGACCGCATTTTGGAAAGTAGACAGTCCAAGGTATTTAGTATGGCATAGTGAGTTTTTTTTTAAATTGTGATTTTTTTTTTTTTTTTTTTTTTTTTTTTTTTTTTTTTTATCCACAATTCTTTGGAAAATGAAGAAATTTTTTTTTTTCTTTTTTTTCACACAATATTGTCACAGTAACAAGTTATTTCTCACACCTGGCACACCCAAAAACACATTCTGCTACTCCTCCTGAGTATGGCGAAACCACATGTGAGACTTTTCCACAGCTCGGCCACATACATAGAGCCCACATCCAAGTAGCACCTTCAAACGTTCTAGGGGCATAAATTACACATCTAATTTCCTGACTACCTATCAATTTTGATGGCCCTGGAGCACCAGGACAGTGGAAACACCCACAACATTATCCCATTTTGGAAACCGAACACTCCAACATATATTCAGTGAGGCATTATGAGTCTTTTGAACATGTAATTTTTTTATCTAAAGTTTAGAAAATGTGGAAAGAAAATGAGAATTTTTTTTTCCCACACAAAGCTATCAATTTATAAGCTATTACTAACATACAGCATGTACATACCAAGAATTATGCCCCAAAATATATTCTGCTACTCCTGAGTATGGCAATACCACATGTGTGAGACGCCACTTGGCCACATAGAGGGGCCCAACATCCAAGTAGCACTTTCAGGTGTTCTAGGGGCATAAATGACCCATCTAATTTTCCTGACTGCCTATCATAGTTTAAGGCCCTGGAGCACCAGGACAATGGAAATACCCACACAATTACCACATTTTGGAAACCAAACACTATAACGTATACTCTTTGAGGCATGAGTCTTTTGAACATATTTTTTTTTCCACAATTTTTTGAAAAATGTGGAAAGAAAGTGAAAAAAGGTTTTTTTTTTTTTTCATAAATTTGTCAATTTATAGGATATTTCCTATTTGCTACTCCTCCTGAACATGGCAATACGACATGCGTGAGATTTTTTTTCACAGCCTAGCTGAATAAAGGATTAACAAAAGATTACCTGTGGTTTTAGTAGAGCAGTTTTCCACAGAGGAAAGCATTGGTCCAGGAAGCAGGTAATATCCAAAGGAATCGTCCAGGCAGCAGGCAGGAATATGGTGGATAAACAGACCAGGGTCAAAACAAGCAGCAGGCAGGAACATGGTCCATACAAAGTATTGGGTCAGTACAGGTAGCAAGAGGAAATATGGTCAGCAAAGTACTGGTCTGGGCAACAGCCAGGAACATGATCGATAAAGTCCTGGTCAGTGCAGGCAGAGATATGGTCAGCACAGTCAAATTATTGGTCCAGGCAGTAGGTAGGAATATCAGGCTTGGGGTCTCGGTCAGGTAAGACCGGTGCACAGGTGTAGAGGCTTTGACCCACCCAATCTCTTCAAAGCCTCTGGACTAACAGCCCCTTATCTGGGAATTACAACACCCAGAAAAAAACTAAATGTTTTTTCTCTACTAGGAACTCTACTAGCTTATGTGAGACCCCTGTGTCTTGAATTCCACTACTACAGTAGCAGGGCAAAACATCAGTCCATTTGGCATGCACAAAACAGTCCATTAACAGGCCGAGGAAGAAATGTGGTTTAGAAACAATCCAGACGGCAGGCAGAGGCATTGGCAGTAAACAGGCCAGGGTCAGTTAAGTGGAAGGCAGAGGCATGGTTAGTCAAGCCAGCAGACAAAAGATCAGCACAGGTAATAAAAACGGGGAAATAGCAGGCTGTTAAAAATAATGGGAACTAATATTTTGGTGATGTGTGATAACGTTGGAAGCAGTCTCAGATGCATAGGTCCTGTTGGGAGGGACATTGGGGACAATGAAAACTGGTGTCTCTCTTAACTTCCCCTCTGTTGTATACCCTACTTTTTTTTCCCGTCGTCTTCCTGTTTCTGATGGTGGAATATTTTCAGGGAAATAGCGTTCATGAAGTCTGCTGACATAATCGGCACAAATACTTTCTGGTGGAGATCCTTGCTGATAGATTAGGGCAGTGATGACATCCATAAATTTGAGGAAGGTGGTGGGTCTTTCCATTGACTTTTTTGATAGGTGGTAAAAATGGCCATATGGAAAAAGTATATTACATGTTGTTCGTAAGGCCCAAAAACAATTTAAACTCCTTCACTGTTGGGTATATCCATTCAAATGGATGGGCAAAGCATGAATTGGGGTGGTCTGAGATATATTGTTGGACAAAAAGGTTAGTCTGGTCCACAATAAATTGAAGGAAATTATCAGGGGAAAAATACATTTAAAAAATCTATCTGAGAAAATATTTCTGTTTTTGGGCTGCACACCTGGCTGTGCAGTGAAAGGGGGGGATTGTAGCTGATCTTGAGCTGGAAGGCAGCCATAATGGGTTTGACAGAGCATCTGGGAGGTATGTTTGGGCCCTGACTCTTGGGGTCTGGTGTGATATTCCAGTGCTGGTACTGGGCCTTTTCATCCTGGGGTCTTGCTCCGTTGGCCTTTGTTGATTGAACATTGCGGTGTATGGTGCTGCTCGTGGTTGCCTGGTCTTCAGAGCATCTTATTCTTTTAGGAGGGACTACTTCCTCCTCTGAATCAGTCACTGATCCACTACTTTCAACTGGGTCGTATTCCGAATCAGAATCGGATGTTGATAGTTCCCTGCTGCTCTCGTCTATCATATTTAGGATTTTAAATTCCTCCTCACTAGTGTAATGTTTTTTGGACATCTTGGCTTTGACGGGTAAACTGCTGATGTGCAGCTATGATGAGTACCCAGCTGATGGGCGGCAGTGATGGTGACTCTGTGATGGGTACACTAATTAGGCTTCACTGATGACAGGTACACTGGTGGGCTGTGCTGCCGGGTATACTGGTGGGCTGTGCTGCCGGGTATACTGGTGGGCTGTGCTGCCGGGTATACTGGTGGGCTGTGCTGCCGGGTACACTGGTGGGCTGTGCTGCCGGGTACACTGGTGGGCTGTGCTGCCGGGTACACTGGTGGGCTGTGCTGCCGGGTACACTGGTGGGCTGTGCTGCCGGGTACACTGGTGGGCTGTGCTGCCGGGTACACTGGTGGGCTGTGCTGCCGGGTACACTGGTGGGCTGTGCTGCCGGGTACACTGGTGGGCTGTGCTGCCGGGTACACTGGTGGGCTGTGCTGCCGGGTACACTGATTGGCTGCACTAGTGTATGCGCTGACAGGTACTGCACGATGGGTACACTGGTGGGCTGTGCTGACAGGCTGAACGACAGGTACACTGATGGGCTGTACTGACAGGCTGCACGATGGGTACATTTGACGGGCTGTGCTGCAAGGTGCACTGATGGGATGTACTGGCGGGCTGCACGAAAGGTAGACAGATCTGATGTACTGCTGTGAAGTGTACTCAGGGCAGCGTGGTGCACAGTACAGTATGTGGTAACTCACTGGTTCCCCTTCTCCTCACACAAGATCGTGTGTGAGGTGGAGAAGCCGGTAACGGTAAGTTACCGCTGTGGTCGGCTGTGATTGACTGGATACAGTCAATAACATGGTAAATAGTCAATTTCGTTGGTTATGTACCTTAATCCGAGAAGTGCTGTGTCCAGGGGACAAAGGTCGTTTGCGATTACTGCTCTGTGTGTTCTGCCAAGGGTGGTGTGCATGAAGGGCGCAACCTGGAGGATGTCATATGACGTCCTCCCAGAGGGACGAGAGGCCCGCCCGGCCTTATAGCAGAATGATGAATGAACAGGTTAAACTCAAAAGCAAAAAGTAATACATTGCAGTTTACCAGTCCTCCAATGTGGTGTCTGTATTACTTTCTTTTTTTTTAATGCTCGTTCACACAGTGGGGAACATGCCCTCCAACAAACCTGCAAATGTCAGCTAGCAGTGTAGTAGCTCTGCAAGAGGTCATAATGGATAAGCTGCCCCTTGGGACAGATAACTGTTCAACTTTATTTACCAGATGGCATTGTTTGGATCTTTTTACCCTAGCAACAGGATCACATCTTTGAAAGTCTTGTATAGAAGATGAAACTGTGTGGCAAAAAAGCAATACCAATTGTGTTGTGTCTCATTAGGTATCGTGGAGCCTGGAACACAAGAATGCTCACTCTGGGGTCCACGAAGTAAAGTTTTTTGATGAAGAGTCCTATAGTCTGTTGAGAAAGGTCAGTGGCTGAGAGAGTTCTTGGCTCTATTTATTTATAAATATAATTTTTGTATTTAGTAATGGCTCCTTAATGTACAGGCCCAGAGGAATAATGAAGATGTTTCCACCATCAAGCCTCTCTTTTCAGTTAATGTTGATCACAGGGTAAGCTCATTTCAATTCTTTAAATAGTGTACATGTATATTTGTGTGTGACGTGTGTGTGTGTCTGGGCATCCAGCGACAATATCTCACTGCCGGGCACCTCTGCTTTACCCAGTTAAGCAACAGTTACGTGCTACATTTTCTGTAGTTAAAACAAATGAATATTCTATATAGTAGTATCTTGTAAAGAAGCATGGAAATATCTTTAATAATTAAAAAAAACAAAAAACGGTGTGACTGCCAGCCTGCTGGGATTCCTAGAACGCTGAAAGCATCAAACTGGAACAGCATTACTTAAATAATTTTTAAATAGTATGTACTCATAATGGTCTGGATTGGTTAGTGGGGTACCCCAAGGCTCTGTCCTGGGACCAATTCTGTTTAATTTATATATAAAAGTATAGAGGTTGGTATAAATGGATCAATCACAGTGTCTGCTGTTAAGAAATGTAAATTAATGCACTTGGGGGGCCAAAAAAATTAGTGCAAATTATTTGCTAGGGGGAAAGCCATTGGGGGATTCCAAGATGGAAAACGATCTGGGGGTCCTAGTAGATCACAGGCTCAGCAATGCCAAGCTACAGCAAGCAAAGCAGGCAGAATGTTGGCATGCATTAAAAAGGGTATTTACTTAAGCGATAACAGTATAATTTTATCAATTTACAAGACACATCTTGAGAGTGCCATCCATTTCTGGTCACCAGTCCTCAAAAAGATGTGCTGGAACTGGAGAGAATCCAGAGAAGGAAAACAAAGCTAATAAGGGGACTGGAGGACTGCAGTTACAAGGAAAGACTACAAGCTTTAAAAAGTATTCTCCCTGAATAAGAGACACTTGAGAGGAGATATGATAGCAATATACAAATGGTGATTCTAGCATAGTAAGGAAATTCAGTTTTAGGGAGCTTTAAGGGGTAGGTTCACCTTTTAACAAACAAATATTAAATGTACATTTTAAATTTTTTTTCTTCCAGGTAAACAAATGGGCATTTATATTTTTTGCTTCGGGAGCCTGTAAAGCCTTGCATCAGCAGATCGCTGGTTCTATGCAGGTCTCTGCCTATATTGGCAAGCAGATATACTGACAGGAAGAATCAAAGAACTACCACAGTGCTCACAGTGCCATGGTAGTTCATTGAGAACTTCAAGTCAACAGCCACTAAGGCTGTCGGGACTTGTAGTTTTCTCATTTACAGAGGACTGTGAATGAGTGACACGGCGCGTAGTTTTTTTTTTTTTTTGACAGCTAGTGAGGAGAGAAGATCCCCCGCTAGCTATCAAAGTGGTGGGGGACAGGGGCCGGTCCATTCATAACAGGTTACACCCTGAATATGGGTACAACATGTTATGAAAAGCGAACTTATCCTTTTAAGAAGACACATGGCTACTCATCAAAATTGGAGGAGGAGTTTAACCTTAAACTGTGTAGGGGGCTCTTTACTGTTAGAGCTGTAAGGATTTGGAACGCCCTTCCACAATCCGTGGTGTCAGCAGGAAATGTGTTGAAGACATATGGCTTGGTATGGTTCAGGAGGAGCCACCCTTTTTTTGACCTGCCAGGCTGCATGCTTGGATAAGGGTCTAGTATGGATTTTGGGGGGGACCCCACACCATATTGTTTTTGTTTTTTTTATTTTGTCGTGGGAGTTCCCTTCAAAATCTATACCAGCCCCGAAGGGCTCGGTATGGATGGGGGACACACCACGCCGTTTATTTTTTTTAATTGCCACCAATTCTTTTACATTCAGCTGTCAGTGGGGAACAGTGGGGCTATAAAAAGAGCATTTGTGAGGTTTAGTACTGATGTTGAACGAAAAGGTCCGGCACGCAATTGGCATTTGAGTATAGGGTTGCGGTCAAGGCTTTGTGAGGGCAATTCTGATTCCTCCACGCCAATCTTATCAAACCATATCATTTTGGACCTGACTTTTGGGCACAGTCACATCCTAAATCTGTCATCACAAGGTTGGAAGCACACAATTGTTTAATATTTCTTTTGTATGCTGTAACATTAACAAGAACCTTCATTGGAAACACCTGTTCTCAATAATTACTAATTGTCAAAAATTATGTAATGCCCCCTCCTACGTTATGTGAGATTATCAGTTTTGATCATAGTCCGTGGACTATGTTGCAGTTACATAGTAGCCACCGATATTAATTTGAGTTTAGCTGGCTAACCATCATATGTTCATATAAAAAAAAAGTCTAATCTAGGGTTATTATGGTTTGCCTTTTTACTTTTTTTTTTTTTTTTTTCTACTAGGGTGCCTGGAATGGTCCATGGGTGTCTACAGAGGTACTTGCTGCACTTGTTGGTATTTTGGTGTACTACACAGCATATACTGCAAAGAGCAACATTCAAGCGTGAACAAAGATTCGGGTCTTGCCGTGGTTTGTCCTGATGTAAAAAGTTCTATTGTTTTGTCATCAATACCAAATAAAACTTTTTCTACACAAAGTAACTTTTTTTTTTTATTCACTGTATGCTATAATAAACAATCTGAATGCATAGCTATCATTACAGACTAAAATGAACCTTTTAACCACCTTCCGCCCGCCCTATAGTACAAAGACGGGCGCAAGGTGGTTCTCTCATTCTGATAGGACGTCATATGACGTCCTTCCATTCTCACCGCTCATGCGCGGCTCAGGGAGCGCGCGGCGATCGCCAGTGCGCTGTGTCCCTCGGACACAGCGGATCACGGAAAGAGCTAAATATGTCGGCTCGGTCATGTGATCAGCTGTGTCCAATCACAGCTGATGACATGTAAACCCGGAAATGCCGATTACCGGCATTTCTCTCCTCTCGAGCTGTCACGCTGACAGCTCGAGAGGAGAGCCGGTAATCGGCTTTCCGCGGAGGGGACATGTACGCTGATCATCAGGGCACTGATGATCCGTGTGCCCTGATGATCAGTGTGGCTCCATCAGTGCCACATGCCAGTGCACATCAATGCCACATATCAGTGCCCATCTGAGCCGCCTTTCAATGTCACCTATCAGTGCCAGTCAGTGCCGCCTATCAGTGCCATATATCAGTGTCATGTATCAGTGCTGCCTTTCAGTGCCCATCAGTGATGCCTGTCAATGCCCATCAGTGCAACCTACCAGTGCCTCCTCATCAGTGCCCATCACTGCAGCCTCATTAGCGCACATCAGTGAAGGAGAAAAATCACTTATTTACAAAATTGTATAACAAAAACTAAAACGTTTATTTTTCAAAATTTTCGGTGGTTTTTGGTTTAAGAAAACATTAAAATCCCAGAGGTGATTAAATACCACCAAAAGAAAGCTCTATCTGTGTAATAAAAAAATGATAAAAATTTCATATGGGTACAGTGTTGTATGACCGCGCAATTGTCATTCAAAGTGCTACAGCGCTGAAAGCTGGAAATTGGCCTGGGGAGGAAGGGGTTATAATGTAGGCTAGTGGTTAAAGAACAACTCTGGGCAAAATTGTTATTTTCCCATGCAGTGGGGCTCTGTCCACACAGCATGGATTATCAGCTCAAAAGCTATACTTGATCCACTGGAAAACGGAGCTCCCCCATGTCCAGTGGTGGACTGTTTCTGCCATCCTCACGTCCAGAACTGGTCTATGGGCGTAATGGCGCCAGGAACAGTTCACGCACAAGACCACTAGCGTGCGTGTGTGAGTGGGGGGAGGCAGGAGTGGCAGGGACCGGTCTTACGCTCGGATGATCGGTGGATTAGCTAATCAAAGAGACTTTGCCAGGTCTAGAGCCAGTAACCCTTCGTACATGCAGCATACTCGGTTTTTGCTAGTATCCTAAGAATTAATGTTTGTCCCACCTCTGCAAAGATCCCTCTTTCACAGATTTTCTTCGCAGATTTTCTTCAGTCAACCGTTGCTGGTTGATTCAGACCAGGCCTCAATGGTTTCGGAGTCTTGCTATTTCAGTCATTCAGTTCATTTGTGTCCCAGCCAGCATACTTGTGCTCCCTGCAACAGCCTAACCGATCTCTTTGGGTGCAGGATCCCGCTTTAAAGTTCCTCCCAGTAGACCGTGACAATGATTGTGCACTCCAATTCAATTGCACTAGCAGCTAGATCCAAAAAGGGTTTAACTCAAAGGTGTCTGCGTAGATTTTATCAGCAACGGTGCAGTGTTGCAATGTGCACCATCTTACGTCCATGAAATCTCAAGGAAACATCTCTTCTACCTACTTGCTTCCTCCTGTAGTGACGCTTTGTCACCTACAACTAAAGCCTTTCTCAACCCGCTAATCTTGTGCCTGGTACTTAACTGCCCAGGTTCTGTGAGTAACCCTCACAGAACCTGGGGTCTAGTATCTGTTTAAAAACACTTGCCTACCGGGCACTTTTACCCCCTTTTGTGCCCAGGCCAATTTTCAGCTTTCAGCGCTCTCACACTTTGACAATTGCCCGGTCATGCAACACTGTACCCATATGACTTTTTTTTACACAAATAGAGCTTTCTTTTGGTGGTATTTAATATTTTATTGCCACTGGGTGTTTTATTTTTTGCACTATAAACAAAAAAAGAGCAATAATTTGAAAAAAAAAAAAAAATTATTTTCTACTATAAAATTTTGCAAACCGTTAATTTTTTTTTCTCCTTTACTGATGTACATTAAGGCTGCATTGAAAGGCAGCACTGATGGGCACTGATGAGGGGGCATTGATAGGTGGCACTGATGGGCATTGATGATGAGGCACTGATGATGCTGCACTGATTGGCGGCACTGCTGAGCACTGATCATCAGTGCCCTGATCATCCGTGCTGATCTGCTCTGTGAAATTTGCCGGTTATGCTGTGACAGCGTGCGGAAAGTGCTGCCTTTAACCGGCAACTGAATTTACTCGGTGATCAAGAAAAGGGGTTTGGCCGCACACCGATGGAATGATGAAAAAAGTGAAGATTGTCCTGGTGCCATTTTGTGTCCTTTATAGATTAATTTATTAATCCATAATCTATAAAGGACACAAATGGCACCAGGACAATGCTTAGCTGTTAATGTATATATAGTGCAGCGCTATGATACTAATATAAAATAAAATATATGTGAATAAAAGTTCATATAGTCCTTTACACAATAAAAGTGATCATGAACAAAACACATGTGAAGGTTTCCTCATCATCTAGGTGGCTGGAATCAAATAGAAGAAATGCGCACTCACCGACCGCGCATTTCAAATGCGCATGTGTACAATATTATCCAGATGATCGGTCAGGTAAGCAGATCAATAAGGCACATTGGTCATCCCCTTCAAGTAACGACATCAGCCTTGGGTGCAGCGATATACCTCCAGGTCCAGAGAGCCCTCTTGCCCCAAGGGATAAGGTAGATAGAGATCCCTCTCCTGGTTATAGGTACCCCAAGAATTGGTTGCTGCAAATCTGGAACCCTCCAACAAGAGGGTCAAAAAAGGGAATGCCAATAGTGTAGTATGTTCAAAACTTTTATTGGGTCATTAAAATGCTAGCCAGGGTCACATGCATATAACAAATACCGTCAGTGATCAGACAGACTGGTAAGTGAGAAATGAATAATACATGTACTAACCCGGCAAAGGTACAGGTGGAAGACCACTGGACCTCCTCGTGGTCCCAGTGGTCAGGAAGTCACACTCGCTACTGGCTCCTCCTCCTCCTTAATATTGTTCCAGATTTGCAGCAACCAATTCTTGGGGTACCTATAACCAGGAGAGGGATCTCTATCTACCTTATCACTTGGGGCAAGAGGGCTCTCTGGACCTGGAGGTATATCGCTGCACCCAAGGCTGATGTCGTTACTTGAAGGGGATGACCAATGTGCCTTATTGATCTGCTTACCTGACCGATCATCTGGATAATATTGTACACATGCGCATTTGAAATGCGCGGTTGGTGAGTGCGCATTTCTTCTATTTGATTCCAGCCACCTAGATGATGAGGAAACCTTCGCATGTGTTTTGTTCATGATCACTTTTATTGTGTAAAGGACTATATGAACTTTTATTCACATATATTTTATTTTATATTAGTATCATAGCGCTGCACTATGTATACATTATTCTTGTTACAAGGTCCAGTGATTCCTTAGAGTGTTCCAGCGGCTGATTTTAGAGCGCTCGCTTCATCTTTATCCTTAGCTGTTAATGTGTTTCACATGATCACATGATAAGAATAAAGAGTGCTGTCTCTTATAGGCATTGATCAATTAAAGAACACCTGCCCCACTTGGCATTCCTGAGTCCCGGAGATGAGCTTATTGATTACAATGTTGCAAGACATATAAAAACATTTTATCAAAAAGGGAAACGGGGGGGGCGGAGCCTAGACATGGCGGTGTAGGAGAGCACGGAGCGGGTGCTCTCCGAGATATCTACACCGCTCCTGATGCCTGTTGACGAGTGATCCAGGGACTTACCCGCGAGTGTCGGGTCCGGAGCCGTTGCGGCGGTCCCGGGAGTGGGGGGGGAGGGAGTATTGTGGCGGCGGGCCCGCTGGGGGGGGTCCCGGGCTGGCGTGCGGGGCTGCTGGGGGAGTGGCCGCAAGGGGGGGCCGTGGAGTATTGCTGGGGGGGGGGGGCTGTCTGGGGGTGGGGATGCCGGCTCACTCCCCTCTGCAGTGTGCGGGTGGGTGGGTGGCCTGCTCCCCTCGTGTGCTGGGTCTGTGCACGGGGGAGTGGGGTCTGGGGGGGGTCCCCCTGGGGGGAGCGGCGGGAGGCGGAGGCTCGCGGTTGGTGGCTCGTGGCTGGCTCATCAGAAGAGAAGCAACTAGAGGGTGAGTGTGAGCAGCACGGCCTAGCCAACAGTGGCCAAACACTGATTGTATGAATATTGAAGGGGAGACTCCCTGGGGAAGATTGAATGAAAGATGCACTAGCAGCCCTAGAAGAAGGAGAATATAGTGGGAAAGTGGGAAAAAAAGTGTGTGTTGAAACCTGAATACCTGGTCGGTAGATGTTAACTCAATGTGGTTCCTGTATTTAAATGAATAAGACACACAGAAGTGATGAAGAATAAAAATGTTAAAAGTAGTGGGCTAAAGGGGTCCCAAGTAGGTACGATAAAAAAATATACGTCTCAAGGAAATGTGACACCAGAAAGATCTCAAGGTATTGGCGATAAAAGTGAGTTGGAAATGAGCTTGGAAGCTAGCCCTAGACTTTCCCTGGGAATAAAGCATAATAGCCAACAAGTATCAGAGAATGTGGAGAGGAAAGAATTGGAAAGTGGACTACAAGTACCAAATAAGAAAGAGATGGCAGATATGTTTAAAAGCCTAGAAAAAACAAATAAAACAAGAACTGACAATCATACAGAGTGATCTAGGCCAAATGTTATTGCGGATGGAGGAGACAGAGGAATGAATTAAAAACCACGCCCAATTTATCTCTGGTTTAGAAAAAAGGACAAAAGATATTAGGAAAGAGCAAAAAAGACTGCTTTATAGGGTGGAAGTACAGGAAAACAGGGAGAGGAGGAAGAACCTTAGGGTAAAAGGTGTCCCGGAGTCCCTAAAGGGAGAGGAAGTGAGAGACTTTTTCTGTAAAATCCTAAGCTCCATAAGGGATAGACCAGAAACAGAACAGGTGAATCTGGAAGAGGTCTTTAGAATTGGAAGGATCCAACATGGAAATGGAGAAAAGAAACCCATAGACATAATTGTCCAATTCCAGAAGATGGGTGATAAAGAAGAGATATGGAGAAAGATTAAGGAAAGATCAACTATTAAATATGGAGAAATAGATATACAGATATTTGCAGACTTAACATCAGAGACACTGTGGAGAAGAAGATCTTTGAAACCCCTGTTAGAGCAAATGAAAAAACAAAAACGTGCACTATAGATGGGGTATTCCTGAGTGTCTAATAGGATGGAAGAATGGAGTTACAGCCTACTTGAGATTTCCTGAGGATTAAGAGACTTTTGTGACAGACTTGATTTGCAAATTATAGAGATTTCTGGCTGGGAGGAGGAGGTAGGAGACAGTGGGGCCAGAGTAAAGGAAGACTGGCAGTTTAAATTAGGAGAGGGAGATAGAGGAGGGTTTTTTTTTTTCTTTTATCCCTCTTCTTGCTCGCTCGAATGAAGTACCTTTTAGTGGAACCATGTGGAGTTTATAAAATAGATAACGGGCATCTGAGGGGGTGGGATGTGGGGGAGACCGCTCATGGGTGGAGTTCAACCCTAAGGTGAAAAATATATGGAGGGATCTCAACAGATTTATAGGCAAACTACAAGCCTAAAATGGGAGGGAGGGAACTGGAGG